GGTGGAGGGTAGTCGCAGCAGGGCTCTGGATGGCAGATCGGGGAGGAGGGGGGGGGGCAGAGGGCCGGGGAGGGGAGGGGCAGAGGGGCGCGGCTCGCCAGAGCTTCTTGACGACGGCATACTTGCGGATCGTGAAGGCAAAGACAAAGACGTATGCTCCGAGGGCGGGGAGGAAGGTGAAGGCCTGCGGCGTGCTGAGCCCGTCAAGAGAGGCTGGGATGCAGGGAGGGCTCCTCGAGGGGCGGGGCGAGGCCTGCGTCTTGAGCGACCAGTCTGGAACCTTCTTGGCGAGCGTCGGGTCCCAGGCGAAGAAGGGAGTCGTCCGCAGGTCGCCGTCCTCGCCGAGCACCTGAGAAAAGAGGAGGGCCGACCGTCGCTGAGGCGCGAAGGGAGTGTGGCGCGCGCGGCGGGCGGGCGAGGAGGGGTGCGGCGGCGGCGGCGGGGGCGGCGGCGGCGGCGGCGGGTGCGGGTGCGGGTGCGGGTGCGGGCGCGCGTTAGTCTTTGCGTGATGCTTGTTGTGGCGGTTGCGCCACCACGAGGCGGACCCGCCCTTGAGGAGGCCCTCGAAGAAGTGCTGCAGGAGGAAGGAGTACCGCACCCCCCACTCGCGGTGCCCGCCCATGTGCTGCAGGAAGCCGCACTGCGCCCAGCAGCTGCCGAGCCCGATCCCGCTCAGCACCGGCGCGTGCGGCGCGCAGGCGATGCACGCGACGATGGCAGCGACGACGGCGAGACCGTAGATGCCCGAGGCGACGGGGCGCGGCTTAAAGAGGCCGCGCTCGCGCCACGACGTCATCAGCCGCGTCATCTCGGCAACGTGCTCCTGCGGCTGCTGCGGCACGTCGGCGGGGTCGACCTCCTTGGTCGGCAGCGCCTTGAGCATCTTCCACGCGCCCTTGTGGTGGCCGTGGAACTGCTCGAACGCGCTCGTCGAGTCCATGCCATAGAAGAGCTGCGCAGCAGGGCGGAGGGGACTCGGGGATGCAGCGGGGCCAGCGGAAGCCGCTGGGTGCGTGCACTCGGGAGGAGACGAACCTCGATGATGTTCCCACCCGGGTGGCGGAACTTTGACACATCGACGTGCCGCCCGTGGATCGTGGTCCACTTGGGCCGTTCAGCCTCGCTCGCGCCGGCGCCTCCCATGAGAAGTCCACCGAGAAGTCGCCGAAGTGCAGATGCGGGCCCAGCTGGCAGATGCGTGTGGTGGGGGGTGGGAGGGGGTGCCCTTCCCCGCGCACCGCGCGCAGCTTGCCGACCGCAAGGCAGAGGTAGTGCGCGCTCTTAGGGGGCTGCGTGTCCTTTGGAGCGCTTGTTGGCGCGTTCAAACCTTTCGTTTCTGCTCGCGTACTTTCACTCTCTCTCGTTCGTGCGAATGTATGTGGGAATGTGTGAGAGAGATTTTTAGCAATACCAAACAAATCTAACACTCACACGTCATTTGGGGCCTGGAGCCCTGTTCACGCGCGCGCGAGACGTGCAGACAGGGTTGCTTGTTGTTTGTGTTTTGGAATGTGTGAACGTGTGTCGTCGTGCGCGGAGAGAAGTGTTGACAGAGAACTCTGCTGTGTCCTGCATATACTGTTACTACTCGCAACACAAACCACGGTCTCCCCAGCTCCGCACAACCTCGGTCCATTGCTGCCCGTTGGCGTTCGTTGCTGCCTGCGAGTCGTTCGAGGGTTCTCGACCCAAGGCCGTGTACGACGGCTGTCTCTGACAGCAGTAAAACCTTTCGTTTCTGCTCGCGAGGCGATGGCGACGCCGCGAGGCTCGCCTCCGACGGAGACAGGGCGCTGACACACCTCGACGACACGTCCATGACGCGTGGCACATGCCCTCAGGTTACCTCTCACTCCCTGTGTGGTGGCGGCGTGCCGTCCTCCCATCCCCGTCCCTTGGGCCTTGGCTTCGCTGTTTTCTTTCTTTTCTTTCCTTCCTTCTCCTCATTTGGCGGTCGGTGTTATAAATTATTTAGAAGCGACGGAAGGCGCCCTATGAGCGTGCGAACGTAAGGTCGCGTGCGTCTCGGTTCCACCGTTCACCGTTGTGAACAAACGCCTTGTCAAGGCCGAGGGCGCCTTGCGGCTGCCTTCCGCCGACGGCGGTGACCTGGACTTCTCCGCCGCCGATTGGGACCCACTCAGCCTCGAGTGCCCCGACTACAACGACCCCAACTACGCCAAGTCCGCCTGCGGGGTCATCCAGGGACGTGCGCTGTCCACCATCCTCAGCGTCTGCTTCCTCCACGAGATCTGCCACGCCGTTCAGCAAGACATCTACTCGCCCGAGGGCGACCTCTCGTGCGCGCCGGGCTGGCTCCGGGGGCTCGCCGGCGCACCGCGACAAGGAGGGCAAACCCACGGGGCGAGTGGACTGCTTCAAGGCCGTCGGCACCTTCTTTGGCGACCCTGAAGCCTGCAAAAAGGAGCTCACCGCGCACCTCAGGAAGAAGCTCGCGCCGCTCGACGTCATCGACACGATCGTCGACACCGACTGCGTCACGAACACCTCGCAGCTCCGCCTCAACCTCGTCCAACGGATTGCCTGCGCAAAGACCAAGTACATTGCCGGCATCGTCACGCCGCCCAATGTCGCGTGCGAGGCTCTCGAGTTTGCGCACAACCGCATCCGCAAGTCCTTTAAGAGCATTGCTCGCGCCGACGCCTCGCCCCAGGCGCTCCGCGACCTCGCGTGGCTCCAGGCGCAGCTGCCGACCGAGATGGGCGGGTGCAATATCGACACCGTCTTCACGCGAGCCGACAGCGACTTCTCCATGTCGCTCCTCAAGAACTGGCGCACCCTCGTCGCCCACAACCCCGACTTCGCCCTCGACGAGGGAGGTGCGTCCAAGTACCCCGCCATCGCCGCAGCTATCGCCACCTACGAGTCCGCCCTCTCGGACTGGAAGGAGGTGTGCGAGAAGCGCACCGCGCGCGACAAAACCAAGTACTACACCGTCCGCGGCGGCTACCTGACTGAATTTTACCCCAAGAGCGTCCCGCTCCCCGAGCCCGAGTCCCTTCCAGCTACCGACGCGATTCTCAATGGCACTTGCAAATCCACGTACCCGCGGCCGCGGGCGCTCGCTGCCATCAAGAATCTCACAAGGACTGGTTCGCGCACCAGGAGCTCGTCAAGGCGCGGGATGAGCACGTCAAGAACAACCCGTCCCTTGGAGACAGCGCCGTCAACAACCGCGAAGCCTCGCCTCATCTCCGCCTCAACGCCTTTCGCCGGCAAGGCCTTCGATGTCCGTGTCGACGGCACATACGCCACCGCCCTCTCCTCCGACGCCCTCCAAGACGAGCTCCAGCGAAAGCTCGGTCTTTGGCTCTCCGTGGCGCTTCCCACCCTTCGGGTCGCGCTCGAGCGGGGCATGCCAGTCGATTTCTTCGGCGAGTACCTTTACAACAAGGCCCACCACCGGCGGCCCCACGACGGCGTCCTCGCCGCCTGGGCGGGGACGCGATGCGCGCCCCGGCCAACGCGCCGGTCGTGCACGGTGACAAGGAGAAACCAGAGCTCACCCGGCAGTGCAACGAGGGGTACAAGGTCGACCTCGCAGAACCCCACGCTGGGCCGGGAGGATGCGATGAAGTAAACGAAATCAAGCTCTGGACGCCCCTCCTCAAGACCTCCTCGACGGGCATTGGCAACGCCTCGAGTGGCGGCACGCCCGCCTCCGTTGGCCACTCCTACGCCTTCGGCAACACCGAGGAGAAGGCCCGCCGCCTAAACATGGGCTGCAAGGCGCGCGGGCAGCCCGGCCAACCCTTCGACCACAAGAACGGCCACGGCTACGTCAAGGCGCATCGCGGTTTCTACCACGACGCGATCTTTGTCAAGCGCAACAACTTCAACCTGCTGCTCCACGAGACGTTCGGCGGCGGCTTCTCGCCCACCGCCGTTCTCAAGCTGCGCCGCCTCGCGCGCAAAGTCGCGCGCGGAAGCGTCGACCGCACGGCCCCACGGCCTACTCGCCCAAGTACTCGCTCTCTTTTAGCCCCCCGCTACCCGGTTGCACTCGTGCGACGTAGCGGGGGGCCACGACTACGTTTACGAAACATAAGTAGTCCCGCGAGGTGTGAATTTGGCCGCCCAGTTACCCCCATTTCCAGCCGCGGTGACGCTTTTTCGTGGCAAAACTCGTCACAAGCTTTGGCGCCAAAGCAGATCCGTGTGTCGTGAGACTAATGCTTTTTGTGTGGCAGATCCAGCTGGCAGCCATGGCACCCGCCGTGTCGCGCCACGCGCGTGTATGTGTGTCTGGACTTGTCACTTGTGAGCCTCTATGATTAGTAGACCGTCTGCGCAGCGCTCTCTCGGTTCGGGTAGCGGGGGGCCCCGCCGGAGGCTGGTTACTGATATGTCCCACCATGCAGAGCGCATCTCTCTCTCTGTTGTGCGAGGCGTGAATCGCGCCATTCGCTCTCACCTGGCAACCCTGTCTGCACGTCTCGCGCGCGCGTGAACAGGGCAACGTACTTTAAACTCCGGTGAAGTTATGTTTTCCAACAACCTCTAAATGCCACAGGGCCTGGTCCTATCGTCAAACGGCCCTGCTCCTCCTCTTGTCTGGCAGCAAACGCAAGCTGCGGCACAAGCCGCGTTGGCGCAGAGGAGGCGGCAAGCCTCAACGCGCCTACCCGTGGCATGCCGCCGGATCGGGCCAAGACTAAGGCTGCAGGATTCGGCCCCGGCTGCTGCGAGGGCCCTCCCGTTGAGGTGTCCATCTTATGTGCAGTCGGGCTACAACTGAGAACTGTAGCGCGTCGGCAGGATCCCCAAAACAGAGTCGTCCACACACCCCAAAATTGAATTCGACCGCCCAAATCTGCCCCCCCCCCCCCCCCCCCGCAAACTTTAAACCACCATAATGCGCATAAACACTTCAGTCTGTGCCAGACATGACTTGACAGTCTGCAGGCAGCAGGGGCTCCAGCGTCCAGGCCCCAAATGACGTGTGTGTGGTGTGAGTGTTAGAGTTGTTTGGTATTGCTAAAAATCTCTCTAAAAATCTCGGCGGAGAAACAAAAGTGTGCCCAAACCGCCAAGGAAACAAAGATAAGACTCAACGGGCACAAAGAAGTCAGGCGAGGCGGAGGAACCGAGCTGGGCGGCCCCGCCGGCCCCGCGCTCATGGTTGTCACATGGCTCATGCGAGCTCGGCCGAGTCGGTGGACGCGCTCGAGCCGAGTCCGTCGTCGGGCGGGTCGTGCTGTGGCCGCTTTTGTCCTCGGCGCGCGACCCCGTCGTCGAAGTAGGCGAGCGAGAGTAGCTGCGGCGCCTGCGGCCGACCAGCCGCTCGCAGCGTCGGGGCGGGGCGAGGGGCGGGGCGGGGTCCGCGGTCTGCCTCTGAGATAGTATTGGGCCATCGGCCATCCGATCATGGATGGAGGATATACGATACTGCTATGGAGGTAAACTGCTCCAGTCATTTGATTATCGTCGCCCTCCATTTGATTATGGCGCCGTGCCCGTCGTCCCATCCCTCCCCTAG